TTCCCCTGTTTTTGTCTAAAAGTTTTATATTTTACTCTTTTCCTTTAGATCTCATCCACTTGGGGTTAATTTTTGTATAAAATGTGATGTTTAGGTTGAGGTAAACTTTTTTTTGGTATGCGATGTAAGTTGTTCCAATACTGTTAACTGAAAAGACTATCCTTTCTTCTTTGAATAACTTTTGCACCTTTGTCAAAATTCAATTAGGTGTATTTGTAAGGGTCTATTTCTGAAATCTCTCTATTCTACTTCATTGATCTATCTGTCTATCTTTTCTCTGATACTACACTGTCTTGTCTGCCATATTAAAATAGAAGAGTCTGATTCTTCCAACTTTCTTCTTTTTCAAAATAGCTTTAGTTACTCTAATTCTTTTGCTTTCCATATGAACTTTAAAATCAGCTTGTCTGATATATCTACAAAAAGTCCTGCTGGGATTTATAGCAGAGTTGTATTAAATCCATAAATCAATTATGGGAGAATTAACATTATTATCATTACTATGTTGAGTCTTCCAATCCATGAACAAGTATGTCTCTCCATTTATTTAGTTTTTTTAAAAATTTCTTTCATCAATGATTTATAATTCTGAGACTGCAGGTTCTATATATATTTTGTTAGCTATATACCTAATCTTTTACATTTTGGAGCTATGATATACAATATTTTAAAATTTCCACTTCCAATTGTACATTGTTAGTATATTAAAAATAACAAGTGGTTTTTGTGTGTTAATTTTGTATCCTGCAACCCTTCTAAAATCACTTATTACTTTTAAGAATTATTTTATAATTTCTTGGAATTTCTTATGTAGAATATTATGTCATAGGGAAAATTTTCCTTCTTTTCAATATTTCTTTTAGTTTTTTTACTTGCCCTGTCATATTGGCTAAAGCTTCCAGTGAGATATTGAATAGAAGTGGTGAAATGGACAGCCTAGCCTTATTCCTGTTCTTAGGGGGAAAGCATTCAGACTTTCAGCATTAAATATAATAAAAACTGCAAGATATTTTCTTGGTTGAATTCTTAAGATTTTAAAGCAGAACTTCAGTTGTGGTCCTTGTTTAATTTTTCTTCTCTTTTGTGATCTGATGTTTGTGCCCCTGCCCCATTCATATGTTGAAACCTAATCATCAATGTGATGATGTTAGGAGGTGGAGCTCCTTGAGAGGTTACCAGATCATGATAACACAGCTCTCATGAATGGGATTAGTGTCCTTGTGAGAGAAGCCCAGAGAGCTGCCTTTCCCCTTCCAACATGTGATGACACTGAGAGAAGGCACCATCCATGAACCAGAAAGTAGGCCCTTGTCAGATACCAAATCTGCTGGCACCTTGATCTTGGACAACCCAGACTCCAGAACAGCAAGAAATAAATTTATGTTGTTTATAAGCTACCTAGACTATGGTATTTTTGTTACAGCAGCCCCAACAGACTAAGGCACCCTCTCTCAGTCTAAATTTAATCAACCTCAAACTATGTGGTTAATAACCAAACTTTATGGGTTTTGTAGCCCTACAATACAACTCAAGAGTGTGTCCTGATTGCCTTCAGGAAATAGCTCAGAAACACAACAGGCAGGAGGTTTGTTGTCCTTGCCACTTGGTCCCTGCTGTGAACAGCACACGTCTCAACTCGCAGTTTGTTTCAGGTGAAGCTGAACCCATGACTTGTTCAGAAATTTGGGAGAACAGGGTAGAGTGAGGGAGTGACTCTGGTCTGGCCAATCAGATCATCACATTCCTTTAGTTCCAAGACTGTATTGAGTTCAACTGGGGCTGAGTGGGCCTCAGGCTAAGGCCCAGAAGTCTTGTTTGAACTAACAGGCATCAGAACTCTTTTTCTGCTGGGTGTGGAACTGGAAAAAGGAAATCTTGAGCTGTGAGGGTTGCTATCTCGCTACCAGGAAAGGCCTTGCTTGGGAGGGAAAATAACACAGGAGTGCAGAGACTATTCGTGAAGAGAGAACAGATCCAGATGATACCGAACTCCTGAATCCGGCTGAAACCAGGTACAATTTCTAGACTCTTTATCTGAGTCATACATTTTATAAGTCACCCCACTATCTTTCTGACTTAAGCCTGCTTAAATTGGATCTTCTGTCACATACAACTAAAAGAGTCTTAAATTATAGGTAGGGAGACAGAGAAGATGTCACTGGTATTCTGGGTACCTCCTCCATTAGCCACAGCTGCCATCCTTTCATGGAAGAAAGACTGGTTGACGTAGGAGAAAGGCCCTCTAGACATGGAGGCCAAGGGAATATAGGCTTGTGGGACAGGGCAAGGGCAGGAGAGTGTACCTGTCTGTATATAGTCACAGGTTAGGGGACCCATTGTCACCTCTCATTTCCCACAGTGCCCATAGGCAGGAGCCACCAGTATCACCAAACATCATCGAAATAGCTTTTCTGCCAGCATTCACAGACCTTGTATCTTTCCAACACTTCTCTTGGCCAGATGTGGGGTCTCACGCCTGTAATTCCATCACTTTGGGAGGTCAAGGTGGGTGAGAGGATTGCTTGTACACAGAAGTTCAAGACCAGCTTAGGCAACACAGTGAGACTTTGTCTTTTCAAATAAATAAATAAATAAATAAATAAATAACCAGGCTTGATGACTTGGCCTCTAGTCCCAGCTACTCTGGAGGCTGAGGTGGAGGATCACCTGCGTCCAGGAATTCTAGCTGTGATGAGGCACTGCACTGCAGGCTGGGCAACTCTGACTCAAAAACAAAACAAAACAAAACAAAACCAAAAAACAATTTCTTTTGGATCTCCTGAGAAAACCTTTTAGCATGGTTCTCCATGTCATTTGGCTTTATGTTGGTTACTCTTCATTTGCCCTCCGGATTTACCCTGTCCTCCTTTGTTCTGCTCTGAGAGGCCGGGAGCTGGGAAGCTGATCCAGGGTTCCCTGCCCTCTGGTTTTGGCTAGATTTAGCCAAGGAGAGCCACTAGCTGTAGATCTGAAGGATGGGAAAACAAGGCTGGGCGTCTTCATTTTCTCCCTCCTTCCCTGTCTCACCAGGCTTCTGGCAGTAGATGTGTTCCTCTGTGGCCAAACAGGTCCTGTCATTTGATCCAGACCACAGCCTGCCCTGGACTACAGAAACACTGTTCCCACTCCCTAGCCTGTTCAGACCCAGGGGAGCTAATAGCTTTCCACAGTTATTCATCCCTAGGTGCCTCACCATCCTTTGCTGATTTCCTTAACCCTGTCTAACTCTATAAATAGTCCCTTATTAAATTCTGCTCAGTGAAACCCTTTTCAGTGAGCACACCATCTGTTTCCTGCCAGGTCCCTAAATGATACAGGCCTGCATGTCCTTCCCACCCTCAATCTCAGCAAACTCCTTGTTATTTCTTAAAGATGCTCCATACTTTTTCTCTCATGTGGCTTTGTTCACACAGATTCCCACCTCCTGCCCCACTCTGGAAAACCCTTTGCCAGAACTCCTATCTACCCATTAAAACCTAGTCAAAAGCCACCTCCTCCAGAAAGCCTTTCCCAGGCTCACTCTCGCTCTCTCTCTGCTGGACCCTAACTGTGTTTATCTGTAGTCTCTATTATCCCCTCTAACAGGCCTCTGTCTCTCTAATCTCAAGCTCCTGAGGCAGAAGCATTTTCCTGCTCATTCCTGTACCCCCCTCCCCAAATTACCCCAGCACCAAGCTTGACACATTATATGTAGGTGTTTGATTGACACCTGCCACATTGAACAGAACCAGGTATGCAATATAATTGCTATTTAATGCACGTGCCCAGGAAGCCACCGCATTTTCTCATTAAGCCTGATTATGAAAGGCAGGAGAAAATAGCTGGGGGAGAATGCCATTAGCAGAGCAAAAAAAACTGGGCCTCAGGAATGTGAGCACAAATCCAAAACCAGAAGCGTGTCATAAACATGATCTCTCTAATAACTCCTGACTTGTGGGGTTGTTCTTCTTTGGCAGAGGTGCTGTACTCCTGAGAAGTCAAGTACCCAGTTCCTACATCTGGGGACATCTCCCAGGCTTCAGAGGGCAGCTGGAGTCTCAGACTTACACAGTTTGGAGAGGCCCTGGAATTTCTGCTTGAAGGGCACAACTTGTCTTCATGGTATTTTTGTTTGTTTGTTTGAGTTGTTGTCTCACTCGGTCACCCAGGCTGGAGTGCAGTGGCATGCTCGCAGCTACCCCAGCCTCGACCTGCTGGGCTTGGTGATTCTTCCACCTCAGCCTTCCAGGTAGCTGGAACTACAGGCATGTGCCACCATGCCTGGCTAATTTTTCTTATTTATTGTAGAGATGAGATCTCACCATGTTGCCCAGGCTGGTCTAAAACCCCTGGGCTCAGGTAGTCGTCTCGCTTCTGCATCTCAAAGTGCTGGGGTTACAGGCATGAGCCACCGTGCTGGCCAACTTGTACTCAAGTTTAACCCCATGTTTCAGATCACAATCTCTTTAGCCAGTTTACCAACTCCTGTACACACTTTCTTGGTTAACTACACAATCTTAGGAGCCTTTTCTCTGTGTGTAAACAAAATCTGACCATCTCCCCTTAGCAGGTTTTAGTCAGGAGTAATTTGAGATCAGATTGAACTCTGGGAGAAAGAAGGTGGCTGGTCATCCTCGATTTTCTAGGCCTGTCAAGCCTGAAATTCTGAGGGTGATGAACCCTGAGCCCAGTTTAAGTAACTGGGACTCCCCAACTTTCCTCAGTTTGTTTCTTACCTCTGCTTACACAGCTTGTGTCACCTTGAACTCTATTCTTCATGACTCCTAACCATGCTGCCTACCTGCTGAGTATTCACCCTTCTCCCCTAACTTTCGTGGAACTATAATTCTCCTCTCCTCCCCCATTCCCAGAGGGATTGCAGAAATACATACCTTTATCTTGAAGCAAGTTAAGACATGTTTTAAGAATTCTGTGATATGTCTTAGATTAAAATGAAGACAGTCACCAGAGTTGAAAGGCTATGCCGAGAATCTCTGTCTGTAAATACTTTGAACACTCACATATGGGATACCCAACATGACATTCAGTCACCAAAAGAGGCCCAAATGCCTTTTTCAACAGGATGAGTATGGCCCCAGAAAAATCCAAAGATGCCATCATCTACCAATGTCTTCCAGGAATAATACTGTACCCAGGATCCAAGTCTTACTATTTGCACCTTCCCCCCTCTGCTTTTGGTTTCTGGGAAAGAATAACAAACATGTATAGGCACTTTGCAGTTGTACACATATCCTCAGGCATCAGCTCACTTGCTAACAATAATGGATTCAATTTAAGGTCCAGAAAGGACTGTAAATTCATCCAAGATGACTGTAAGAGAACAAAACAACAAAAAATCAAACATGGCTGGGCACAAGGGCTCATGCCTGTAATCCCAACACTTCGGGAGGCAGAGGCAGGAGGACTGCCTGAGCCCAGGGATTCAAGACCAGCCTGAACAACTTGGCAACACCCCCGTCTCTACAATAAATCAAGAAATTAGCTGGGTGTGGTGGTGTGTGCCTGTAGTTCCAGCTACTTGGAAGGTTGAGGTAGAAGGATCACCTGAGCCCAGCAGGTTGAGGCTGTGGTGGCTGTGAGTATGCCACGGTACTCCAGCCTGGGTGACAGAGTGAGACTCCTACTAAATCAATCAATCAATCAGTCAGTCAGTCAACCCATCAAATCATAGTGAGTATAACCTTTTCACAGTAACACTTTAGGATTCTGTTTAATTTTGGAATTGTTTATGTTTGTGAGGATCTTCGGCTCCGTTTCTTGGTATTGCCCAAAGGGAAAGGGACAAAAGATGTTGCCTGAGGGATGAGGGAAGGTGATAAGAGGGAGAGAGCCAGGTGAGGTGGCTCACACCTGTAATCCCAGCACTTTGGGAGGAGGAGGCAAGAGGATTGCCTGAGCCCATGGGTTCGAGACCAGCTGGGCAACTTGGTGAGACTTCATTTCTACAATAAATCAAAAAATTAGCCGAGCATGGTGGTACATGCCTGTAGTTCCAGAAACTTGGAAGGCTGAGGTGGAAGGGTAGGCTGAGCCCTGCAGGTAGAGACTGCGGTGGCTGTGAGCATACCACTATACTCCAGCCTAGGCAACAGAGTGAGACTCTAACTCAAAAAAATAATAATAATAGGGGGAGAAAGAGATAGAATCTAAGCAAAAAGGCACAGCTGCATACCCCACCTGCTGTGATCCAACAATGCTTTCCCTAGTGCAGGATTCAGGAAGTCTATATGAGCTCAGTGATAAGCATTCCTACAAATAACTTCAGGGTTCTAGGTCTCGGATGCACTAAGCTCAGTCTTTTGTAGTTACTGACTTGAGGTTAAAAAAGTGACCAATGTTATTCAATCATTTCCACTTAAACAAAAGTAGATATAGAATTCTAATATTTTTTCCAAAACAAACAAGTTCATTGGAGACTATTGAAAAATACCAATATTCAGTGCAGATGTCAAACCAGTTACAGAGGAGGTCTAGACATGTTGATTAGGGTCTATGATTTCTGAACTGGCACAAGATCTTAATCTGCATTGCTCAGTACAACTCAGAATCTTCTGTTTACTGAAAGCTCAGGAATTCCTCCAGGTACAAGAAAGAAATTCACAAAGAGGAAGCAGAAATGGAGGAAGCCTGTTATAGCTCCTGGTTGACAACAAAGTTTGCTAATAAAAAAAGTAAAAACCTTTCTTCAGACTCTTTAATGACCAAGTTGAGTGTTTAACCATTCAGTTGCTCAAGGTCTACCAGAACCGGTAGCACAGACAGGCTAATTAATTTCTTATCCTAGAAATAATTTACAGACAGAGAGAAAATAGGCAGAATTTGGACACAGATGTGAAAGGATACTTGAAGGTGGAAAATCTAGAAATAAATCTCTTAAACAATGCAAGGGTTGCTAAATACCACATCCGAAATGCTCTACCATTCAAAGCTAATTCAGTTTCAAGCCATGGCCCAACTATGAAAAATCAGATAGATCTTCTGCTTTCTCTAATTAGCCCAAAGAATTCTCTGGAGAGCAAACTGGTTTTGGTGCTGGTTTCTTGAGAAATCAGATCTTCCTTAGGGCAGAGAGATGCTCTCCAGTCTAGAAGCCTCAGGGCCATGCTGAGCTCATACAAAATGTCTTCAGAACTGTTACTACCAGCTTGCTCTGCTCTCCTTCTGGGGTCCCCAGTCTAGAAGCACAGTATAAGAGTTCCTCGTGGTCTTCACTCAAAAACACATACAATTGAGTGAGTAGCTAGGGGACCAATGGGATTGGCTCATCAAGGATTTACCTCTTTTTTTTTTTTCTTTGACTCTGTATCTCACTCTGTTGCCCAGTCTGGAGTGCAGTGGCACCTTCACAGTTCACTGCAGCCTCTTCTTCCTGGGCTCCCCAGAGTAGGCCATAGTTGGAGTGTCCTTGAGTAGCTGTGGGAGGATTTCTAGGCTTGAGGATGAAAAAGAATAAGTCAGCTGGGAGTGGAGGATCACACCTATAATCTCGGCACTTTGGGAGGTGGAGGGGAGAGGACTGTCTGAGCCCAGGGGTTTAAGACCAGCCTAGGCGACTTGGTGAGATCTCATCTATACAATAAATCAAAAAAATTAGCCAGGCATGGTGGCACACGTCTGTGGTTCCAGCTACTTGGAAGGCTGAGGCTGGAGGGATTGCTTGAGCCCAACAGATCGAGGCTGCCGTGGCTATGAGTGTGCCACTGCACTCCAGCCTGGGTGACAGAGAGACTTTGACTCAAAAAAAGAAAAAAAGAAAAGAAAAAAAAAGAAGAGTAAGTCTGCATAGAGGTGATGATATGAGTACAGAAGCCTTATCCTCTCTTAGGTCCAATCTCAGTATTATATGGAACTATTATCTAATATATGTGCTGCTGTGTTTTTCACACTCCTCTTTCTCACCTTGGTTTCCTGAGGATAGAATGCTGTCTTACATGATGAACCTGTCACATCAGAACATCTAACATTGCATTTGCTTCCTAGGAGATGCCCCAAAATATTTTTGGGTGATTACAAGCCTTCTTCATTGAAGAATAAAAGAGGTAAATCCGCCTGTAATCCCAGCAGTTTTGGGAGACTGAGGCAAAAGGATTGTTTGAGCCCAGGAGTTTGAGACCAGCCTAGACAACATAGCAAGACTGCATCCCTACAAAAAATTAGCTGGGCATGGTGGCATGCACTTTAGTCCCAGCTACTTGTGAGGCTGAGGTGGGAGGATTGCCAGAGCCTACAGGTTTGAGACCATCCCTGGCAACTTGGTGAGACCTCATCTCTACAACAAACAAACAAACAAATAAATAAGCTGGACCCTACAATAAATGAATGAATGAATGAATGAATCAATCAATCAATTAGCCGGGCATGGTGGCACATGCCTGTAGTTCTAGATACTTGGAATGCTGAGGTGGAAGGTTCACCTGAGACCAGCAGGTCGAGGTTGTGGTACCTGGGAGCATGCCACTGCCCTTCAGCCTGGTGACAGAGTGAGACTCTGACTCAAAAAAAAATTTTTTTTTTAATTAGCTAGGCATGTTGACATGTACCTGTGGTTCTAGCTACTTGGGAGGCTGAGACAGAAGAACCATCTGAGTCCAACAGGTCAAGGCTGCAGTGGCTATGAGCGTTCCACTGTACTCTAGCCTGGGTGATAGTGAGATTCCAAAGAAAGATAGATAGAGATAGGGATAGAGATAGGGATAGAGATAGAGACAGAGACAGAAATAGAAAGAGAGAGAGAGAAAGAGAAAGAGAGAGAGAGAGAGGGTTCCCACCTGACTGCCATGCATAGATTTTTCCCAGCAACAAACAATATTTTTCATCTTATATACCAATTCTGTTTGATTAACAGTGGCTGCCTGGAGCATAGTTTCCAGGATTCCGAGGCCATGACAGAACTCTGTAGTAAGAATGCAGTAATCAATTAGTGATGTCTGCCACAGGGCAGGAGTGGGAGTGGAGGTACATGTGCTGAATGTAAATTAAGGGTTATGGGAGTACAGAGAAGGGAAATTATCTCTGACTGAGCAAAGAAGTCTACAGGATAAAAGTGGGAATTAGATCCATCTTGGAGAATAGGCAGGATAAGAGTGGGTGAAATACTTGAGCAAAAAGATTAGGGCAGGAAAGTACAAGTCCTAGGAAAGCAACTACTAGACAAGTTCCACTAGAATACAAGCTCAAACAGAAGGTGTATGTAAAAGAGTGGAGGAAAAGACTAACCACTGTGGAATGCCCCAAGTAAAGGAACAGGATCAAGAAAAGCCAAGAGACTGAAAGAGATGGAGCAAGAAAGAGAACACACTTTATTTACAAGGCTACTTTACAAGACCAAAGTCTATCTGCAAGAATTTTAATTACCAGTTAGGGGTATCGAGGTTTGCTAGGAAGGAAGAAACCTTGCTTAATGATTACTAGCCCAAGCTTTGGAATCAGTTCTGGGTGCAAATCTCAGCTCTGTGTGCTCAGACACAAGATCTAAGCCTTATAAGTTTCAGTTTCCTCATCTGTAATATGGGAAAGTATGCTGAGAGTCAAGTGGGAAATAAGTTGCATAAAACTTAAAGTAAGCCCTCAATAAATAATGGTATTAGGTTTGGTTAGCCACAAGAGAGAACTCTTCAAAGGAGAAAATGTATGTATCTCTCTCTCTCTGAATGTCTCATAATTTGGGTAATCCTATCTGAAACCTGTAAAAGTGGCTAAGTGGTTCAGAAAACAATTAAGTATGAGATATCTATAGAAATTGAGCAACATCAGTTAATCTTTCAGAAACAAGGAGAGACTCAGAGATTAGGCTGTCTGTAGTTTAGGTATTTCTGGTGGCTTTTTTGTTGATTTAATTCTTTAGTGAATTAAAAGTAACCAGGTAATTCTTCAGTAATAAAACAGTGGTACAGCCGGGAGCAGTGGCTCATGTCTGTAAACCCAGCACTTTCGGAGGCAGAGGTGAAAAGATTGCCTGAGTACAGGGCTTCCAGACCAGTCTGGGCAACTTGGCAAGACCTTGTCTCTATAATAAATCAAAAAATTAGCCAGGCATGGTGGTGTGTGCCTGTGGTTCCAGCTACTTGGAGGGCTGAAGTGGAAGGATCATCTGAACC